TCCCAGATCAGGCCCTTGACAAACGTTATAGAGAAACATTGCATTTCTATATTTCTATGCCGAGTAGTTAATTTTACTTCAGATCCAAATAGAACAAATCCACTTTGTGTGTTTCTTCCTCAAGTATCACCCTTCTCACCCATTCCTCCTCTGAAGACTCACCAGCTCTACTTCCACCCTGCTCAGAGCCCACTTGTGCACCCAGATACTCTCACTCTGGTTACAGACCCAAATACGGAGAAGCGGACAAGTGTCAGGAGAGTAAGAGTAAACGAGGAGCCAGTCTCAGGGACATCTTTTATAAGAGACTCAGGCCTGGGATCTAAGGTAAACCAGCGCCCTGGGTGGCTGCTCTGCACAACTCGAGCATGTGCCAGCTCACTCCTGACATTCACCTGTCCCTCTGCCCTGGAGGCCGTGGCATCTCCCAGCTGCCCTCTACTGGCATAAAGGTTCCTGACTGGGCATTTCTTGAGTTAGAGTCCCATGGACTGAGCTCTGGACCTGGATCTGTTTGTTCAGGTCACTGGGATCCTGTTTCTCCTAGTGATCCAGGTTGTCAGAGGACCTGAAGCAGACACATAGCTGTGCAGGGACAAAAATATTATATGATGAGAGCACAGAGTCATTGCTCTCAGTGAATTATTGTTAGATTAAGGTTCATAACTCTTATGATAAGTGGCAATATATGTGCTAGTTAAATGATAAAATTCAGCCATTGAGTTGAAGGGTCTCCACCCATAGAAGTACTGCAGTACAGTCTAAAGAAAGTTAAATTTAGATTCCTGGAGCTTCCAGGATGCATTCTCTGCAGGTTTGTCTCCCCTTCAGCGTCTGTCCTTCCTCCCACTCTGCTCATTCCCTTTCAGCCAGATTCTCTACATGGTGCTTCTTTCTCTCCAAGAGGCTGATCAGGGACTGTCCCTTGTGTCATATGGGTGCCTGGTGGAGGGAAGAGGAGAGGAGAAGACAGCAGTAACCCTGAGCACTCCAGTCTGATGGTCTGCCTCCATCAGTAAGGTCAAGTCAGGGTGCCTGTCTCCAGGGAGTTCCCAGGCAATACCAGCAAGCCCCGGTGAGCCAGCCCTTCATAACTGCTCTCTGAGAACCCCAGCCTGGATGCCAGCCAGGCCCTCCCTTGAGATCCCCCACACAGCACTTGGCCTTTGCTCTTGTTGGAGCCCCTGGAGGTGGCATAGTGGGTGTAAGTGTACAGATTTTTGTGTTGAAAGACACGCTTCTGACTCTGCCAAGTGTACTGGATCATAGCTGGTGACGCTATAGTTCTGCTTCCAGATACCCAGGCATCCAGCTGTCTTTTCTAGAAGAGAAAGAGACAGCGGAAAATAGTGGTTAGGAGCCCAGACCTTGGAGCCGGACCGCTTGAGTTCGATTCCTTACCATGTAGTATCTATGTCACCTTGAACTAGTTAATTAACTTCTCTGTTCCCTCAGTTTTTCCATCTCTAAATGAAGAGTGTATCAGTACTTTTTCAAAGGATTGTTATGAAAATAAAGTGAATTGATATTTACAAAATACTTAGAACATTGCTGCATAGTGATATAAAAGCATATGTTATATACATACACAAATGGAATGGTTAGTTTCCAACTTAATACCTTTTCTCTCTAACATACAGACATCAATTAAATGACTATGAATATCACAGGTCCCTCTGTCCACAGGGGTAATTGGTGAGATAAAAGTAGAAGTCATTGAGTGAGGCTTTGAGATAGCTTTTTATGAAGGACCTGTCCTTCTTTCTTTCCTATTTAGATGCCTTGTATTTCTTTCTCCTGCCTGATTGCTCTGGCAAGTTCTTCTAGTACTATGTTGAATAGAGTGGCATGGTGGCATCCTTGTCTTGTTCCTGATCTGAGAGGAAAAGCTTTCAGCTTTTCACCACTGGGTATACTGTTAGCTGTAGACCTGTCATATACAGCCTGTATTATGTTGAGGTACATTCCTTCTATACCCAATTTGTTGAGTTT